ATGCCTTATATAGATTGCATATTTTTTTATTTTTATTTTTATTTTTTTTTGTTTTTATGTTTTATTTTTAATTTTTAATTTTTAATTTTAATTTTTTCTGTTTTATTTTTATTTCTATTTTTTTATGTTTTTGGTTTTTTTACTTTTTATAATTTTTTTATTTTTATTTTTATTTTTTAATTATAATTATAATTATTTTATTTTTTTAAATAAATTCTTATCTGATGTGGCGGATGACGAGGCGTTGAGTAATCCGCCACATTAGATCGTCTGTTAATTGATTTATCGCCATTTAACATCGATGTGGTTTTTGTCAAAGATTTACAAGTTCAATATTTTTTATGTCAAAATCAACTAATTCATGTTTAATTTGGAAGTTTGAAAAGTTCGATATTAATATGCCAGTTATCTCTAAGTTCGATAATTTTTTTAGGATTTTTCCTATTGTTAAATATTGTAGATATGATTTATTTTGAAAATAGTTAAACTTATATGCTTGATATAAAACTTTCCATGTCTTCATTTATGATGAAACTTGTCGAACTAAATAAAGTTCTTGTTGAATGAGCATGTCCAAATGTAGTCAAGATCATATAATCTTGATTATTTCTTTGTTTTTTAACGATAAACATCTATTTCGAAAAAAGTTTATGGATGACTATTATGTTTGGTATATGCATGGAAAAAAATGCGGACAATAACGAAACATGTGGCACCAAGGATGGACGATTCGAGTCAAAATCAAAGGTATGGTGTAGAAACAAAATCAAAATGGTGACAGATGTTTTCCTAAAGGGTTTGAGCAAATGCATAAGAGAATGAACCAAGCGATGAAGCAACACGGTTTTTCGATATGTTAGAGATGACAATCATCCTATATATGAATGGTGTAAAGAAGGTTAGTCTCGTTTATCTCTTGTATCTAGGTTGATGAACATGAAAATAGATTACAATGTTACAGAGAGTTGTATGAATTCATTTTGTCAGACCTTACGTTCGTATTTATCTGAAAATAACCAAGCCTCAAAATCATATTATGATACTTGAAAATGTCCATTGAATGAATATGTTAACGAGAGTTAAGTTCACATGTTTAGAATAATGATGAGCGATCAAAATTTTTAACGTGTCATAGGTTAACTTTAATAGGGTGAGAGGTTGATGAAATATCCTTTGATAGTGAACCCCATGTGGAGAGTGGATGTTCTATAAATTGCTCTAATTCCTGTGATTAATTATCATGGCATGAGCTTCAAAACCCTTTGCAAGTTCTTGCATGTATGGTTGTTTCAAAATCCATAGTGTTTACATTATATCTTATATGTGTTTGTTTGCTTCGATTGATTTCATTTATCTATAACTATTTTCATCATGTTCTCTATCTTCTCATACTGGTACTATTATCTGTGTTCAACAATGGTACTACTATCGACCTTGGTGGTCTAGGTTTTAGTATTTGTGAGGTAAATCCATATCTCTAGATTCGACACATCATGCAAATGGTCGGTTAGAGAAGTATCAATGATTGGTACATAGCCTGTAGGTATCGATGACGTTTGGCAATAAACCTCTGGAGCAGATGATGCAGAATTATCTCGAGTCCAAGGTTGGATGATATCGGATTACGAATGAGAGAGGCATAAGACAGATATATTTGATTCCCGTATGAGATGCACTTGAATTTTGATTCCTAATCCAATTTTCGGATATATGATGTGACACCCGTAACCCCCATCCTATATACAGGTTGTGCCAAATCAATAAATAAAATCATGAAAATAAAACTTCGAAATATAAAAATCGCAGAAAGTTAAAACCATTCGTTAAAATATAATATAACATAAGACATTATCAAATATATAACATGTATTATATGTTGGTTTAGTGCTCTATGATGTACTGTTTTATGAGCTTTCTTATGATACATTTGATGTATTGACACTTTCTATGGTTTTATGGATGAGTGTTTGATTGATTACATGTTATGCATACTTTAATATGTTATGAAATCCATGTATTGTTGTGAGCAATACTAAACTCCCTAGTCATATATCTTTGTGGGAACAATGATGTACTAAGACTAGTATGATGTGTAATAGATGATCATAGAGATGATCATGGGTATTGGATACGATCACAATCATAGGTATTCGTTGGAGAACGAAATACTGGACTGACCCGAATGAGATTGTCACATGGACTAGCGTCATGACTTGAATCTCATGTGACGGTTCCATGATTGGATCGTATGACCTGAGATATCTACGGAATCCAACATGAGGAGTTGTGTACTTTGAATACTTCAAACGTCCTACGTAACAGGAAGACTATAAAGGCGTGTATCAGGTACGACATGAATCATGTGCTGGATTGTAGATAGTCAAGATGGGATTTGTACCTCTCGTAAAAGAGAGAGATATCGCTGGACCCCTCGTGTGAGTGAAACTGTAGAAATGTGTGGTCACACTATAGAGCATCGTCTATTTCGTACAGTCGAACTCAGTGAGCGAGAAAGCAGTCGAATCAGATAAGGTGGCTTTTCCATGCCTTATGTTCGACATATGATATCGTGATACAAAAGGATAATCAACCGGAATCGTCACCGACGTTCGTAAGATCACGAACAAACTCTATTCGAGATAGGTAGTCATAGTGTCTTGCTAGAGACCGCCTCTGACTTGTATAACCGAAATGGAGATTTCAGGTTACACTATTATATCGAATGAGCCTACAGGGTTACTGTTGGGTTTCTCTACAGATTCCTAGCATGCGATCATATCGATCTAGAGTTTGGTTTACTAGGTTTCATGCAGCGGAAGAATAATCTAAACCTAGTCAAA